GAGACGCTTTCGCACTTTTTTCTCGCGCCTCCTTTTCTCGAGCTTTCCCGCGACAATTCGAAATGTTCCGCCTCCTTTATGTAATTGGATCGGTGTTACCGGAAATCGGCGAGACTCGACGATTTACAACGCCGAACGTTGGCAATAAAGTTTGAAAGTTGGTGCGCAGAATATGAGTTTGAGAGAATGATCGTCGTGAATTTCGTTCGGGAACGAATTTGAGGTGTAGGGATAAATGGAAGTGAAATTGAAAGGGAATTGTTCGTGAGTATGGATGGTTATGACTTAATTTTGGATAAAGTGAATGCGCGGTCGCAGTGTTGATTGAAAGTTTGATTGAAGATAAATTCGAATCGAAGGGCACTCGATTGTTTAAACGAAATCACAAGTCGAGATAGTTAATTTATTCCAAATAAACATGGTTTAAATATACAAGCTTGTTGTATTCGAAATTATATATTTATAAATATGACTATGTGTAGATATTTATAGAGAAAATTCCTTCGAAATGTATATGATATTGCTTATATAAAGAATATGAAAATAGATTTCTATTTCAAATAATAATTATCCTAATTCATGTGTAATAATGCTCGTCAGATATGTTGTAAGATCAAATATAATTATTCTAGGTATCTATGAAAGAAGATATCCTGTCTTATTTATTTTTTATTTCGTTATATCATATATAGAAACTTCTGTTTAACAAATTTAATTAGAAATGTGGATTGCCTTTTTTTATCATATGCTTTTCCTTCTTGTAATATTTTCTACGCTTTTCTGATAACAAATGATAAATATAGAGAATATGTTTCGATTATATAGAAGATCCATTAAACCTGAAGATCTATTTTAAATTAATTGAATCGTTTATCTTTATTCTAAAACTTAGAATTCGATATAGTAAATTTTTCGAATAAATTTATCGTCTTAGAAAGATTGAATTGAATTATTAAAATTTTAAAAATAACAGATTTTTTTAGTAGTAGAAATATAATAAAAGCAATCGATCGAAATTAACGAATATATAATTTTTGTTGCAGATAGCCGAAACGTTTACATGATGCTGACAGCTGCCTTTTACATAATTTGAATAGATACGTGGAAAGACACAGGTTACGTATATTATGTATAAAAATTTGGTTAAACGGTCGCGTGATAACGCGTGCACGAAAAGATCTTATTTAAAGGATTATTAAACGATTATACCACGAGATAAGATCTACACGAATACGGCTCATTAAGATGGCGGTATTTAAATATAGGCCAGAAATGCATCGATAAACATCGATTTCTACGAGCTGCCATCGTTCAAAGAGAATTATAACGATATGTCTCTTCAATGAAAAAGGATCGTTTATTAATCCTGGCATTTTTACATATCGTGTGAAAATCGAACACGATTTCCAAGCTCGGCTTGTATTCCACGAAAATTATTCTCTCGGTGAATATGGTTCACTGTTACGACACGGAGCCTCCATCCTGTCATTATCTGTCTCGTTAAATTCGTATCACGAATTTGTGCATCCGTTATTCTATCTGTTTTTTTTTTTTTTTTTTATTCTTAATCTTTCATTAACTTTTCTCT